GAATCGATGCCGTGTCCTCAGTTTTATAATGTCTGCTGGATATTGTGGATGCTGGCGGTCCGTTAGTCCTCAGCGAGATGAGATGGACAGCTGATCCCCGCGCGAGCATTTAAAAACTTCCCACCTGACAAGCGCGGGCGCGTCGAGCTCGTGTCTCAACGGTTCATTTACTCACGAGTGAATCACACAGCATATGTGCCTGATAGGAAATGTATCATGCCAGTCCTCTCATAAAGACGTGTTTGATTAGATGCCTTTAACCACAGCAGCAGAACAATTAAACCCATTGTTCATCAATGCTTCAGATTATTTGGATCTGAGTGTGCACTGTGATATTAAAAGTAGGATAGTAATGCTTGAGGGCTGAGGCTGTGTGTAATAGACAGTTCCATAGTAATAGATCCATAGTACTCGTATTAATAAAGTGATACACAAAACAACAGGCAGAAGAAGATACAAATTAGATAAACCAATTTTAAAAATGTAGTAGGCTATTTAAATTAATGTCCATGTATTTTTGAAAAAATAAATAGCATTATCTAAAATAAAAACTGATTTAATGACTCTAAAATGTCAAGTATAAAGTACTAAAACATAAATATATGCGAGTAAACATATATATTATATATATCTTTATTTGACCCTCTATCTCTAGCACTTTCTATTCTATTTTAATTCTACTTTATCTATTTATCTTCTTTTTTGTTAAAAAAAACAACACACTAGCTTTCTATTTTTTCTATTCTATCTACTGGTTTTTCTTTTTGTGTGTGAGTGTGTGTGTGTGTGTGTGTGTGTGTGTGTATATATATATATATATATATATATATATGTATACAAATATATGTTATATATATAAATGGGGAAAAAACACACTTTAATGTGGCAGCCAAACGTTTTTTTAGGAGGTAAATGTTCCAAATTCCTTATGCCAAAACTTTATTCTCTTTAAAAATCATAAAATATTTATTACTTAAAGAACACACTACAGACAGTAAATGCCAAGAGAGAACCTCACTTATATAATATCTGTACTGGCACTGAATCACTGTTGTGTTGAACTGGGTGCATGGATAATGACTTACTGTAGCATTTAATCACACGCCATTTGGCAACTTTTTAGTTATTTACAGTATTTTGAAAATGAGTAGTAAAGAAAAAAAAAACATTAGGCCTTTGACTGTTGCTTAGATATCAAAACTACAGCTGTCATCAAAGTACCGGCACAAACTGAACCGCACTGGTAGAACAGCCAATATACAGCACTCATGAAAAATCCCAGGCCCGAGGGCAGTGAATTTCTGGCTACGCCCTGTCACGAACTCTCTGAGAGGAAAGGGAAGACGCTGGGCTGAGTCAGAGGTGTCTCAGCTACGCATTACCAAAACACACCCAAACATCCAGCGCCACACATCTTTCTCTTCCACACCTTGTTCCTCACACAGACGCAGCGAGCCCCACCTAAACCTCTCCAGGTAAACATGCTCATACGCAGAGAACGGCATGGTGTAGTGTGAAGCACACCCTGTCTGCCTCTCGCAGGACGCTGCCAGCACCACACCCTCACACACACACACACACACACACACACACACACTGTGACAGGACACGATAAGAAACAGTGAGAGAGAATGGGAAAGTCTCATAAGGCCTCTCATAGATCACTGAGAATAATCAAAATACAATAAATAACCTGCCTCTTAGTTATTACATCAAGAAAACACTGCAAATTTCATTTAATTTCTTTCTGTATAGGTTTTGTACTTACTGGAGTGAATATACAAAATATATGAATGTCATTACATTAATATATAATGTGTCATCTTTTTAAAATAAAATAAAAAACGTATGAATGTCATTGCATTAATGTATATTGTTGTGGCATCTATTTAAAAAAATGTTTGAAGTCATTGCATTCATGTATATTGTGGCATATATTTAAAATAATAAAACAAAATAAAATAAACAAATCAATGTTGAAAGAGTATTTTTTTTCAGGATTCTTCAATGAACTAAAAAGTTCTAAAGAACAGCATTTATTTAAAATGATATATATTTATTTCTAATATTTGATATGTCCTTAATGTTACTTTGGAACTATTTAAAATAAAATAACGTAAAAATAAAATTAAGTAAAATAAAAATGTATAAATGTCATTGCATTATGTATTGTGGCATATATTTAAAATAAAATAAAATGATTTTTTTAAAAAATATTATTTAAAGAAAAATACAACACACTCTTTCTATTCAAAACATTTCACAAAAGATTAATTTTGCAAAAGATCATTTGAAATGATAAAACTATAATATACGATTTAAAATTAAGAACAAAACAGTTTGTTTTGATATTTTCTTATCTAATCAGAAACATTAATGTGCCATAAGTGTCCCGATTCTTTTTGGACCATTTTGTGGTTTTGCAACAAGTCAGTTATTTTGTAATAAAGATTATAAATTAAGTTGAGTGACCATAAAAGTGAATAAACTCATTTGATTCCACTGATTCAAGGATTTGACTCTGCAGACGATAGTTCCTTTCAATCTAGTCATCAGTCTGGTGGATTTTAAGAAAACCCCTCTTTATTTCTTTTTTTAGAGTCATGACTGCCAGCATATTAAAGAGAGCCCCTTATGTTAAAGATGTAAATGACTTTTGGAAACTCTGTTAAGGCCAAAACTGGCACAATGCTTTTCATTATGTGTCTAGTTCACATTTTGTACTTTCAGGCTTGTGGAGGAGAAAAACACATTTAATCAAATTGAATCGGATATGAAATGCAACCGCATATGATGATGGCCGCTGAGTCATGGCGAAGTCTTAACAAATGTGTTTAGGAATGATATTGCTAATAGTGCTGATTTTGTGTCAGATGAGTGAATCTGTCTGTAACACTGACCAACTTGATTTGGTAATGAGTCTGTGTCATTTCCTGCACAGCAATAAAGACACAATGCTGTTTACTGCACTGCTATTATGATATGAATATGGTTTAAATATGCTCTAAACTATAGATTAATAATCTGAATTTTGTTTTACTATAGGCCTAATTGGAGCTATTATGTATTTGTTTTTTAAGTAATGCACTGTAGATAATCTTCAAACAGGGTCCAGGGACCCATAGAAGACCACAAGAGGGTGCTATAGAAGGTCCATGTACAATTTGAGACCAAAAAAAAAAAGATTTTACAAAATGTATTTTTGAGAGTCATTAAAGTCAACTGTATATACACTATTGGTCGGGTTAAGGAATCTAGAACATGATCATGCAGAATATGGCATTAATATGTGCCAAACAAATGCTAATAAACAGCCAATATGCTAGTAATATGCATGCTAATACGCAACTAGTTAACAGTGAGGATTGATCCGTAAAATAAAGTGTTACCAATATTTCTTATGTTTTTATCGATGTTGAGAACAGTTGTGATATTTAATGGAAAGCTTGAAACATTCTTTTTAGGATTCTTTGATGAACTGAAATTTTAAAAGAGCAGCACTTATTTGAATAATATTTTTTCCCCCAAAATTTTAAATGCATTTTCTGTTACTATGTATTAAAGAAAATTTAAAAAATAATGAAAAAAAAAAAAAAAAAAGTACTGACCGCAAACGTTTGAATTTCACACTTATTTATATATTTATTTACTGATTGATTGATATTACTGTTCAATTCTGCTTTCAGAAAACTGGTCAAAAATCATGAGAATAATCTGAATTACTATATTCCTTTGACAGCCCTAGCTTTTAATAGAAGGAAATAACCAAATCTATATATTCCTTCTTTATTCATTATTATGCTCCAGGAAAAGCAATAATTGATTAAATGTGTACCTTGAATGCAATGTAAGTGACTGCCAAATGCATAAATGAAAAAAAAAATGTTTTGTACAGTTTAAAATGTTTATTTTAGAAAAGGGGTTCCTTGCATTGTATCATAATATTTGGGGACTCTTAACTTTTAAAACCTGCTGTTCTGGGGCACTCTATCACACACTCACTCACTCACTCACTCACACTCACTCACTCACTCACTCACACACACACACACACACTCACACTCACACTCACACACACACACACACACACACACACACTCACACTCACACACACAAATATAAAACAATATAAAATGAAGCAGAATTACACGTTGGCAAGTCCTGTAATAACCACTGTTTATTATTCAAATGTTACGATTGAATTTACAGGCAAATGGGTAACAAGCAGAGGTGTGTCAGGTCCTTTGGGTGTGTGTTTTTGAATGCCTTGATTAAAACAGAAGGAAGGGAGTCTTTAAAAACCATTACACTCTCTAGAACCAAAGGACCACATAAAGACTGTGCAGCAAACACATACTCTAAATGCAGAACAACAGATCACAAATACTTGATACTTTATAAATTAAAAATACTGTTTTATACATAAACGTGTACGTGTTGCACTTATGTCCACAGTGGTAGAGAGGGGAGGTCTATAGCTAATCTAATGCTTTATAGTGGCACTTTCCACAGTTGAATCTCTCAATATGCCAGCCGAGGAACCGCTCGATTTAGCAAACCTGTCCGAGTAAGACTGTAACTGAAGGAACTACGGATGCGGTAACAGTAAGAAACAAACAGTGAAGAGTACTAAACCATCAAAGATCTCTTTGACTTAAGATGTGACGTCCACATTTAGAGGATTACATCCAAACGTTTAGGCACTAAAATAGATGGTTAACTAGCCAAGTGTGATTAAGCTTATCATCTCAAGTAAAGCAAATCATTCCGATAAATATGAAATATTAGAGACATATGGATGTGTGGGGTTCAAGACATTACGCATCACCATCCGCTGAAAATTAACCACAAATAAAATAAATGATAGAGCTATGATGCAACACTGAGCCATGTATACAGGCAAGCGTATTATACCACAGAACATATTATATATATATATATATATATAATTATATATATTATGCAGAAGTTTTGGCTGATTTTTTATTTTTTCTCGCAAATGAACCAATGAGGTGGCTGGTTGGGTCTTGGGTTTAAAAATCAGCCGTTCCTGAATCATTTAAGCATATTTACACAAACAACAGTTCCTCAACTCTATATTATAATAAAAAAAAAAGAAGAAAAAAAAAAAACATTCACACAAAAATATAACATTTGAAATAATTATTAGCACCAGTGTATCAGATACAAGTCTTGCTACGCCAATGTACAAAGTTGCATAGTGTTGAGTTTTGCTCGTGTTAATGTGTTTTGCAGGACACCAGTAATAAGCAGCAGCGTCTGAAAAATCAAAATAAACACAAAACTGAAATATCTGGCAACCATGAAATGTATAAAGTCAGCTGAGCCACGCAGAGATGTTCTCAACTTTTAGTACTGAACTATTTATATACACATGAACTGAAATACTGTATTTACGTGTTCGACTCGCTCTCGGTACCAAATCTAGCACGAGGGGCGAAAGAAGATGCGCATCACGAACAAATTAAGATTCCTTCACTGTTAGCTTTGAGCGAATAGCATTACCGATGATGATATACACTAGCTTAAGTAGCAAACTTCCTCAAACAAACGTCTTGGCTTCTGATTAGGTGGGAATTCTGATTGGATTGTAAAGAGCAGAGGTTGGCGAGGGAGAGCTGGAGGTGGTGCAGTCATGTGGGTTCAACTCGAGGCCTCTAACAGCTCACACACACACACACAAATATGCACAAACACACACACACACACACAAAAACACGGCCGTTACTTGGAGTTCTCTTCATGTAGCATTTCTGCATATCAAAAATTCAAAGCTTTTGTCTTCTGTTTGTAAAACATGATTTCAAAGAAACGTGTAGAAATACAAACAAACAATAACCCAATAAAAGGAAATCAAATGCGAGTAAAAGATTTCGAAACAAAACAAAGGCTGTTTTGGTGGCACGGACGAGGGGATGGAGAGGGATGTTGAAGAACACAGGGAGAGGTCAAGGCCGCTCCAGAGACGGAGTGTTGAAGCAGCCTACTGGCAGAGTGTTCTTGATGTCGTTGAGGTTAGCGATGTCCGCTCGAATCTCTCGGATCTGACGGTCGTAGTCGCTGATCATGTCCTCCTGGCTCTTGGCGATGTCGTTCAGCTCCTTCAGCTTCCTGTCCAGCTCACTTCCTGCCATCTTGTCCTTGGCGTCTTTTAGAGCGCTATCGATCTGATTCAGCTTGCTCAGATCCACCTTATCGATGTTGCCTGGAAGAGGATAAGGTGGTGTTATATTAAGTCATTAGATTTCACAGAACTGCATTCTTCTTGCACTATATAGCAAGGAAAATAAAATGATCAACAATACCAACAGTGGGATAAGCTAAAAATGCACAAGCTAAACATTTTTTTTTCTTTACATTTCGGTTAGCCAGATAACAGCTTAGCCTATTAGCTTACCAGTGTTATTGTAATATTGGAAACACTTTAGTATAGGGATCAATTCTCACTATTAACTAGATGCTTATTAGCATGCCTATTATTAGCATTTTGGCTGTTTATTAGTACTTATAAAGCACATATTCTGCATGACCATATTCTACATCCCTAATCCTACCCAATACCTAAACCTTAACAACTACCTTACTAACTATTAATAAGCAGCAAATTAGGAGTTTATTGAGGCAAAAGTCATAGTTAATGGTTTGTTAATCGCGGGAATTGGACCTTAAAATAAAGTACGCCCATATTCTATTCTATTCTATTAATTATATTATATTATAGGAATTAGCTTTTATTTAAAATTTTTTAATATAATTATTTTAAGATTTTCAGTTTTTATTTAAATTTAGGTTTTTTTTGTCATTTCTCATTCATTTTTTAAAAATATTTCTATTTAGCTTTAATGTTTAGTAATTTTAGTAGCCATTTAATTTCAGTTAGCTACATTTATCATTTTCAGTGTAGTTTTTCATTTAATATTTAATAAGGCTATCGGCGCAGACAAGTTTTTCATTTAATATTAATATTTAACTTCAGCTTTGTTTTAACAACTGTAAACTATTTTTAGTAGTTTTAATTATAGTTCAAAATGGCAATAACTGGATAAGCTACAACAAAATATCACGATAACACATAACATCTTTGAATAAACATTGAGGAAGGGGGATGGGAACCGCTCCCGCATGACACAGGAAATACACACAGTTAGCATGATTTCAAGCTCTTTTTTTCCCTTTTTTTTTCAATTGTTGGTTATTGTTTCTGTCACAAAAACGTGGTTTATTGATTAGCAACTAGAGTCTTACCAAGCTGGCCTAATAATTCATTGATCGTGTTCAGCACTGTCCTAACAGCATTTTTGGCTTTTCTGGCATTGCCCTCAGCTTCTTTAGCATTATCAGAAGCCTGTGAATGAGAGCAAAGTCAATACAAAGTCAAAATATGGCTATAAAACAAGTTCAAACATACAGTCAAGGTCATAACCCACCATGGCCGCCATCATCATGTCAGCGTCCGCCTCAGCTTTCTTCTTCTCCAGCTCTTTCTCAGCAGCTGTGAGCTGGTCCATCATGTTGTTCACCTCTCCATCCAGTTTCATGGTGTCTTCAAAAGCTTTTTCTGCATCTACCTTTGTCTTTGCCGAACCCTGATTAAAAACAAGCAAATGGAATAAAGTAAGGCACTGTTTGATAAGGAAACGGACATCCCACAACTTTTTTATGGTTTTGATGCCCTTCATCTGAATCTCAACATGTACCTTCTGCACATCATTAGCGATTTTATCAGCTTCCTCTGCCTTTTCCTTGGCTTCTTTAGCATCAGCAGCTGCGTTGCCTAAAGAACATATTGGCTGTTTATTAGTACTTATAAAGCACATATTCTGCATGACCATATTCTACATCCCTAATCCTACCCAATACCTAAACCTTAACAACTACCTTACTAACTATTAATAAGCAGCAAATTAGGAGTTTATTGAGGCAAAAGTCATAGTTAATGGTTTGTTAATCGCGGGAATTGGACCTTAAAATAAAGTACGCCCATATTCTATTCTATTCTATTAATTATATTATATTATAGGAATTAGCTTTTATTTAAAAATTTTTAATATAATTATTTTAAGATTTTCAGTTTTTATTTAAATTTAAATTTTTTTTTGTCATTTCTCATTCATTTTTTAAAAATATTTCTATTTAGCTTTAATGTTTAGTAATTTTAGTAGCCATTTAATTTCAGTTAGCTACATTTATCATTTTCAGTGTAGTTTTTCATTTAATATTTAATAAGGCTATCGGCGCAGACAAGTTTTTCATTTAATATTAATATTTAACTTCAGCTTTGTTTTAACAACTGTAAACTATTTTTAGTAGTTTTAATTATAGTTCAAAATGGCAATAACTGGATAAGCTACAACAAAATATCACGATAACACATAACATCTTTGAATAAACATTGAGGAAGGGGGATGGGAACCGCTCCCGCATGACACAGGAAATACACACAGTTAGCATGATTTCAAGCTCTTTTTTTCCCTTTTTTTTTCAATTGTTGGTTATTGTTTCTGTCACAAAAACGTGGTTTATTGATTAGCAACTAGAGTCTTACCAAGCTGGCCTAATAATTCATTGATCGTGTTCAGCACTGTCCTAACAGCATTTTTGGCTTTTCTGGCATTGCCCTCAGCTTCTTTAGCATTATCAGAAGCCTGTGAACGAGAGCAAAGTCAATACAAAGTCAAAATATGGCTATAAAACAAGTTCAAACATACAGTCAAGGTCATAACCCACCATGGCCGCCATCATCATGTCAGCGTCCGCCTCAGCTTTCTTCTTCTCCAGCTCTTTCTCAGCAGCTGTGAGCTGGTCCATCATGTTGTTCACCTCTCCATCCAGTTTCATGGTGTCTTCAAAAGCTTTTTCTGCATCTACCTTTGTCTTTGCCGAACCCTGATTAAAAACAAGCAAATGGAATAAAGTAAGGCACTGTTTGATAAGGAAACGGACATCCCACAACTTTTTTATGGTTTTGATGCCCTTCATCTGAATCTCAACATGTACCTTCTGCACATCATTAGCGATTTTATCAGCTTCCTCTGCCTTTTCCTTGGCTTCTTTAGCATCAGCAGCTGCGTTGCCTAAAGCCGCCTCGGCCCGCCGGGTCTTCTCATTGGCTTCATTGATTGTCGCGTTGATTTCTGGGATTCGCCTCATGGCATCCTCAGCAGCAGTTTTGTTGTCATTCACTCTCTTGTCAAAGTCTAAAAATAATTTTTTAAAAATATAATATTATTTAAAGGGGTCCTATTATGCTTTTTCACTCTTTCAACTTTAGTTATCCTGTAATGTTGCTGTTTGAGCATAAAAAAGATCTGCAAAGTTACAAAGCTCAAAGTCCACTTCAAAAGGAGATATTTTATTTAACAGAAATCACTTTTCAAAAACTACAACGAACGACTCGTTTGGACTACAACGCATATTTTCTGTGATTTGTGATATCACAAATATCGACGAATGGGACGAGACCTGGTTGAGCTGCACTAGAGAAGGCAACGAGTGTTATCACTAATGACTTGTCTGGCTAACATTCAGAAGGTGAAATTCTGCACTTGCAAGAAATGTACTGTTTATCATGGAATAATAACAAAAGCAATACTGTGGGGGAACAAATACGCAATATATTTCACATCTAGTCTAAAAATAATGCTATTCATAAAATGCCAAGCTTTATCAAACATCTCAAAAAGTAACTCGCACTGTGAACAGGTTTCATAAGAACAATGTCTGAGTTCATGGTCCAACTCTTTCATTAAGTGCATGACATTTAACTCAATCAGATTAGGATGAGAGTATGGACTATGACCAGTGCTATCACTTGTCTCTCGTCAGTATCATTTAAGTGGCTCCTGGGCCTCATGGCATGTGCTTGACTCTTACATATTAACCATGTGAAAGAGCTGAAACTAAATATTCTCATTGTTCCTTTAAAAAGTTTGACCACCATGACTGTATTTTAAAAACTAATTCCAAAAAACCAAGACAGAACAAAACAAGCACATTAAAAGTCAAAAAGCATATGTACCTGTTGCTCAGTCTTTCCTTTTTCCAGTAGTTTGCGGACTTCTGTCTCTTTGCCCCTCAGGTCCTCTCTCAGGTCGTTGTACTCCTTCTCAGTCTTGTCTATCAGTTTGTCCAGGTCTGATGCCTCCTTCTTTATCTTATTGGCCTCATCCTGAGGGAAATTCAAGAGATTGGATTATAGATGCATCCAGGTTGACTCAGTAAGAATTATAATACGTTATGAAATCAGCACCTCTAATGTTTTGGTGTCGATTGGGGGCAAGCTGGTCAGGTTAGCGTAGATCTTCAGAGCTTTGTTTCCTGCCTCTTCTGCTTCAGCTTGTACTTTAGCAGCCTGTTTCTCCAGGTTCTTGGCCAGATCCTTTGCTTCAACATATCTGAGCACATTTGAACAGCATTTTAGACCATCTGCATTTGAAATATTTTCTTAAAATCAGATGACAGAATATTGACAAGACAAGAAAGTCGCATAAAAAGTGATGTCCAAGACATACTTCCTGTTGAGTTCATCGATGTCGCTGCTTGTTTTGTTCTCGCCGTCGAGCGCCTTCTTTAGCATATTATAGGCTTTAGTGGATGTGTCATTGGCGTCCTTCGCGATCTTCTCAATCTGATCTGCATCTGCTTTATGTCTGTGTAAAGAGCCACAGAAAAATGTTAAATAAAACTGTATTAGGTGGTATGAAACATCAATATTAATACAGCATGAAATACTGAAACTCACTTTTCGGACAGTTTGCGGGCTTCCTCTGCCAGAAGTGTCATATTGTTTGGATCTCCAGAGGTTGTGGGTATTTTAATGTCCTATGGGAACAGACAGAATGGAAATATTGGCAACTAAGAGACATTTTAATGGACTCCACTACCATTAGCTGAAGGAATATGTGGAACATTACGACATGCTCTCTTGGTGGTCTAATAGAAATCTCACCACTTTACTGATGGCCTCCTTGGCTTTGTCCAGCTCCTCTCTAGCAGTGCTGATCAGGTTCTCTGCATCACGGACTCGGTTACGTGCTCGATCTGCCTGCGTTCCTGTGTTGTCCACTGTGTTCTTGATGTTCTGCAATCGGTTCCACTGGTTGTTCAGGGTCTTGTTGATGTTGTTTAGACGGTCCAAAAGGCCTTTATCCACTTCTGTATTATAATAGTGAAAGATGACAGAATAATCATCATGTAAAGTGAAATACATCTGCTCTACTATTAAGTAAAAATATAACAGTTTTTTTTTTTAATCTTTTAGTTTTTCTTATTTCATATAGTGAATCAACATGATGTCCTATTAAATTTTTTTATAATAGTGAAAGATGACAGAATAATCATCATGTAAAGTGAAATACATCTGCTCTACTATTAAGTAAAAATATAACAGTTTTTTTTAAAAAATATTTTAGTTTTTCTTATTTCATATAGTGAATCAACATGATGTCCTATTAAATTTTTTTTAATCTGATTTCTGTTTTTTTATTTGGCAGAATTATAGTATGTCATAATATTTGAAAAAAAAAAGAACATTACAACTATTAAAACTGTTAAGAATATTTAGAAAATTACTACATTGACAGACAATACCTTTGCTAGCCTGAGCCTCTTCCAGTAAGTCCATTATAGTTTTCTCTGCCTCCTTCAGTCTGTCCTCAAAGGCCTTGTCACTCACTGTATTCTCAGTGCTGTCCAGATTATCAATCAAATTCTGTAAGTCATGAAGCTTCTGTCTCTGCTGGTTCACCTGTACAGAAAAGAAAAAAAATCAGAGGTATTAGAAATAGTCTATTCTTTTATAAAACAAAAAAGTGCTGTGTTCATAAGACGATCTCTTACCTTGTCTCTGACCAGGCTGTAACAGTTGGGACACTGCTGGCAGCCTGGTGTGGAGCGGTTGTAGAAGTAGTTCTCCTCACACATGTCACAGCGAGCTCCCACAAAGCCTGGGAGACACTGACAACGCCCGTCTTCCTTGCACTGAGCAGACTCTGAGCCTTCTGGGTCACAGTCACAAGCTGCAAAAACAAACAAATGGTAAATGGAACAAATCTAAAATTGAAGATAAATTCTAAAGCAATTCTGCATGATAAGGCAAAATAACAGGACAACGTACGTTTGCAACCCGATGAACTGAATCCAAAGAAGTTGACCTCACAGCGCTCACAGTGTTGACCTGTGACCCCAGGCTGACACTCGCATTGGCCGCTAACGATATCACACTGACCGTTTGTGGAGCCAATAGAGTTGCAGTTGCATCTGGGCAAAACAAATTTAAAGATCTGTTTGAAAAACTTGCAGATCTGTCGAGCTTTCTTTTGTCAAAACTATATCACTAGAATGAGAGAGAGAAATAAATCAAATACCGTTCACAGCCCTTGCCGCTCTGTAGGTTGTAGAAACCAGGCTCACATGCACTGCAGTCTCTGTTAATGACATGGGGAAGACACTGACACTGACCCGTCACCTGAGAGCAGGTCGTCTTCCTGTCCACTGTACCGTACCGAGAGCACGAGCATGCTGCAGAGGTGGAAAAATCAGTTTAAAAGAAATTGAATAAAAACTCATTTTTAAACATTTTAAATTGCAATGATGTTTCACAATATCACAGTTTTTAAATGTAGTTTTGATCAAATATGTGCAATTTTGGTGATCATAAGAGACTTCTTTCAAAAACAAAAATCTTACTGACCCTAAACGTCTTATTTTTGTTTTTTATGTATTTTATTATTGCTTCAAATAGAGTGAAAACTGAAATACTGCTAAATATTATTCCATTAAAAAATATTGCTATTATTATTATTATATATATATATTTTACATTTTACAATGTTTTTTTTTTTCTATTTTAAAATGTAATTTATTCATGTTATGGCAAAGCTGAACAGCCATTACTTCAGTCTTCACATGATCCTTCAGAAATCATTCTAAGATGCTGATTTGGTGCTCAAGAAACATGTATTATTGTTATTATATTTTCAGGATTCTTTGATTAGTTCAAAAGAATCAAGAACATTTGTTTCAAATTTGTTTGTAATATTAAATGTCTTTACTGCCACTTTTGAAGATTTTAAAGCATTCTTGCTAAATAAAATGATTAATTTCTTTTTGAATGATCTTACTTTTAAATGGTAGTATTTTTTGTTTGTTTCACTTACGTTTGCATTTGTCAGCTACATTTGCGGCACGGGCATCACCGTAGAAACCCTCTTTGCAACGGTCACAGAAGACGCCGGCAGTGTTGTAAATGCACTTGAGGCATTCGCCCGACTCTCGGTTGCAGTTGCCCACAGCGTTGGGGTCAATGTTGTTATTGCAGCTGCAGGCACGGCATGCCCTGACTGGACCATTTTCACCAAGAGGGTCCCCGAAGAAGCCATCATCACATAGTTCACATCTCTTACCTGGAGACAGTTGAAGTTGGGGATGATCATGTGCTATATTATTTACTATATCGAATCTCCAAACAGATTGAATGCTCAGAGCTTGTACCTGTGGTTCCAGTTGGGCAGTTTGTACAGACCACCTCTTTGGTCCTGGGCACCACGGCACACGTGGCACCTGCGGGGCAGGGACAGGGTTTACAGTCTGAAGATGAGCCGACTGTAGAGTCCCCATAGAACCCATCTTTACACCTCTCGCAGCTCATGCCGGCGGTGTTGTGCTGGCAGTTACACATTCCTGCAAGTACGAAACAAAGTTACCATGTAATACCACACATCACCACAAGATGGCAACATTATATAAACACAAAGGCAAATAATCAAGTAGTAGTAGCACTATTATTATAGTATGTACTGTATGTATAAAGTGAATTTTGTGAATGCATGGCATATTTACAGAAAAATCCCAAAATATGTATTTTCACAACTCTTAAAGTCTTAAAATGTACACTACCAGTCAACAGTTTTTGAACAGTATGATTTTTAATGTTTTTTAAAGAATTCTCTTCTGCTCACCAAGCCTGCATTTATTTGATCCAAAATACAGCAAAAGCAGTAATATTGTGAAATATTTTTTAATATTTAAAATAACTGCTTTCTATTTTAATCTATTTTAAAATGTAATTTATTCCTGTGATCAAAGGTAAATTTTCAGCATCATTCATCCAGTTTTCAATGTCACATGATCATTCAGAAATCAATCTAATATGCTGATTTGCTGTTCAAGAAACATTTGTATTATTATTATCAATATTTAAAACAGTTGAGTAATTTTTTCAAGATTCTTTGATGAACAGAAAGACCTAAAGATCAGCATTTATCTGAAATAAAAAGCTTTTGTAACATTATGCACCATACATTTCAAAAGCTTAGAGTCAGTATAATTTAATTTTTTGGGGGGAAAGAAATGATAGAAATTAATACTTTTATTTAGCAAGGGTGCTTTCAATTGTTCAAAAGTGATGACAAAGAGAAACATTTGTATTATTATTATCAATATTTAAAACAGTTGAGTAATTTTTTCAAGATTCTTTGATGAACAGAAAGACCTAAAGATCAGCATTTATCTGAAATAAAAAGCTTTTGTAACATTATGCACCATACATTTCAAAAGCTTAGAGTCAGTATAATTTAATTTTTGGGGGGGAAAGAAATGATAGAAATTAATACTTTTATTTAGCAAGGGTGCTTTCAATTGTTCAAAAGTGATGACAAACATTTATAATGTTAAAAAAGATTTCTATTTCAGATAAATGCTGTTCTACTGAACTTTCTATTTGTCAAAGAAACCTGAAAAATTCTACTCAGCTGTTTTCAACATAATAATAATAATAATAATAAATGTTTTTTGAGCAGCAAATCAGAATATTAAAATGATTTCTGAAGAATCATTTAACTGGAGTAATGATGCTAAAAATTCAGCTTTGAAATCACAGGAATAAATTACATTTGAACATATATACAAATAGAAAGCAGTTATTTTAAATAGTAAAAATATTTCATATTATTACCGCTTTTGCTGTATTTTGGATCAAATAAATGCAGGCTTGGTGAGCAGAAGAGAATTCTTTAAAAAACAAACAAAAAATCTTTAAAAATCATTAAAAAACTTTTGACTGATTTTCAAACATTTTAGACCTTTATGCCAACTATCTGGGTAAAAAACAGTCAAAGTACTGACATTATATAATTAAATCACATCTTTTATTATTTCATTGGCTTTCATGTTGCATGCATCCAGTGCAAATTACCTTCCGTAATGCCCACATCCAGATAATAAATAGTGAGAGCAGATAAGTAAATGATATATCAACACTATGGCAATGCAATACAAATAAGTCAGTTGTGATGACAAACCTGTCACAGGGTCGCAAGTGTCACTGTGTCCGTTGCAGTTGCAGGACTCGCAACTGCTAAAGCGGCCCAGCTCAGGTTGGCTCCTCCTATATCCCAGATCGCACTGCTCACAATGCTGCCCCAAGTAACCCTGAGGACACATACACTTCTCAACCCAACGAGCAGGAGTTCCAGGGCCACGGCGGGCAGTCACGAGGGACACGTTGTCTAAATAACCAGCACCTACAGCAGAAACATTATTAAGTATCAGTTAAAATGACCTTAAGAGTCTCGCAGCAGAGAACTCAAGGCCATGGTAATCAAACAAATTAAAACCCCTTCCTATTTTGTCTTTATAAAGTGTCTAAAAACAAAAGCTCCTCTTCAGTGAATTAGCAGACGTACTTCTTGCACTGTAGGTTCCACGAATCATAACTGAAGTCAGATTATACAGAAGTTTCTGGAAGTCGGCATATTTTGTGGTGGGTCTCCAAGGATAGTCAGTTGTGTCATGGAGTCTAAAGGACAAGAGATGATATTTAACATTTTAAGTACATCAGATAAGCTACACATATGCATAAATCTACTGAGCTGCAAAAAGATGAATGAGCTGACTACGAAAACTAAATATGGCAATTAATGTCAGTGTATTCTGATGCATTTAATTTGTATAAATAATTGAATGTATGTAATTTACAACATGAACTTAATATTAGTGCTGTCAAACGATTAATCGTGATTAATCGCATCCAAAATAAAAATTTTGTTTACATAATATATGTGTGCATACTGTGTATATTTATTATGTATATATAAATACAAACACATGCATGTATATATTTAAGAAAAATATGTTATGTTTATATATTTATATATAATATAAAATATAAGAACATAAATGTATATACATGTAAATATTTTCTAAATATATACTGTATGTGTGTGTATTTATATATACATAATAAATATACACAGTACACACACATATATTACGTAAACAAAAACTTTTATTTTGGATGCGATTAATCGCGATTAATCGTTTGACAGCACTACTTAATATTCAATGAACCCCCCAAAAAATATGTATAAAATAGTAAGCATCACAACTTTTTAAAAAACTTTCATAACAATTAAAGATGTTTCTTGAGCACCAAATCAGCATATTAGAAAAATTTCACAGGAATAAATTACATTTTAAAATATATTAAATTGGGAAAGAGTTATTTTAAATGATAATAATATTTCACAATATATTATTACTGTTTGGTGTATTTTTATGTACTTGAATATGTAAATCTTCATTTGATTTAAGCAATTACCAGCCCTAGTTTTAACAAAAAGGAACTCGAAGACCTCACCTAAACACAAAGGTTTGTGTCTCCTCTCCTGGGTAGGAATTGCCCTGGGCAATAAGTGGCACAGCAACACGATGCCCAGCCCCTTCCAGCACAACGTCCTCCGCTGAGAGTCGAGCATCATGTCGCTGAATCCTGAAGTTCAGCGTGAGGTTCTGACCATAGCTCAGCAGCTGATTACCAAGAAATGTCTCTACAAGAAAACATCCCAGATGATTTGACCAGTCTTATTCATTAAACCTTCTGCCCCTTTAACATACAGAGGAAAGCACGTCTGCTATTATACCTGGAGCCACAAAGTAGATAGGGAAGTAGTCTTCTGAGATGAGTGAGATTTCTCGAGAGGTGGGTGACCACTGCACGGGAACGCTAGAGCTGTCTCTCTGCTGTCCCTTCCAGCCCTCTTCATCTATTCAAAGACATACGTAAGATATATTATTCATTCTCCATGTCACAATCCTTTGTAACTGTGGCCGATTTTACATTAGCGCGAGTATAGCATCAGCAGTTAGTATAAACAGGGTGTTGACACTCTATTGGATGGATACTCACCCCTGTCGAAGTTAGAGGTGATTTTGTGTATGTGGTAGCCATCGGCACTTTCACACACAGTGGAATGCTGGAAGCAGAAGCATGGAGTACATCCCTGGGGATTCTGGAGGTCCAGATTAAAGTAGCCCAGTTTACACCTGAGAGAAAGACGCAAAAGTTTATTAGTAATGAGACGGGCTGATTAGTTCATTTGTAAAGTTCAGGGACATTTTAATTATTGTCACGCTAATTAATATTTGAATTATTGTCCACATAAATACAATTATTACTACAGTTTTATTCATTTCTCGCTTTGCATGCTTCAAAACCACCATACACACATCTGTGGCTGAAAACTTGCCATGTGCCATGTGATTTCCTCAGCATTAAAAATTACAAATACTATTTTGGGATTTGAAGTGAATGGGAAAAGAGAGCAAAAAACTCGAGGAGAAGGAATCGGCTTTAAATCAACACTGATTGATGGGTCTGCAAATCTACGATCAACTTCTAAAGAGAAGAGGAACAGCTTCTGAGGTCCTGAAAAAGTGAAAAAAAGTGAAAGATAAAAGCCGGTTGACGAATCAGTTTTTGTGGATTTTTCTTTAATTTAGTTTTATTTAATATTTGACAACATGTTACTCTTGAGGAACATTTCAGTAATTAATAAATAATAAAAATAATTAATTTTATTACTAAATATTGTTTTAATTGCTGTCATGATATTTATTTTAATTATTGTTATAGTAATTACAATTACACTTATAACATGTTTTAAAACCACCATATATACATCTGTGGATAAAACATTTGGTAACACTTTAGTTTAGTAACCAATTCTCACTGTTAACTAGTTGCTTATTAGCATGCATATTACTAGCGTATTGGCTGTTTATTAGGCACATATTAATGCCTTATTCTGCAAGACCATATTCTAAATCCCTTAACCAGACCCAAATACCTAAACTTAACAACTACCCTGCTAACTATTAATAAGCAGTAAATTAGGAGTTTATCGAGGGAAAACTCTTAACAGTTAACAGTGAATGTGTTCCCTAATCTAAAGTGTTACCAAACATTCTCACAAAATGTGTTGTGATATGGTATTTATTAAATTATTGAGAAATACTGTTTTTTGATTTGAATGTGGGCCCCACAGGTCATAACGTGTAGAGTGAGTGAAGTAAGCAGGCCATCAGTTAACATCAGTGAGATCATCGTAAGGCCTCTAAAAACAGGTCACACATAAATCAAGAGCTGTTTCTTCAGACACACAATCCTTTCGTCCTTCCTGAATCTGTCTTAGCACTTCTCCCCCTTTGTCTGTGTCTCATGAGTATATACTGCAGGGATTATCCAGTTCATGTGTGGCCAAACTTGGTGACTGAGAGGAATGTCACAGCCGACATGTGAATGAAAGGTTAGAGTTTTTTTTTTTTTGTGCAAAGTGCAAGGCAAAAGCAAGCAGGAGAGCTGGGATTATGGAAACTCTAACTGGAAATGCCAAATATTTGGGATGTACGTTTAAATTAAGGCTGCCAATCAATGAAAACATATCCAGATTATTCAACTGTAGGGATGTAACGATTCACTCAACTCACGATTCGATTCGATTCACGATTATTAAGCTTCTGAGGTCCTGAAAAAGTGAAAAAAAGTGAAAGATAAAAGCCGGTTGACGAATCAGTTTTTGTGGATTTTTCTTTAATTTAGTTTTATTTAATATTTGACAACATGTTACTCTTGAGGAACATTTCAGTAATTAATAAATAATAAAAATAATTAATTTTATTACTAAATATTGTTTTAATTGCTGTCATGATATTTATTTTAATTATTGTTATAGTAATTACAATTACACTTATAACATGTTTTAAAACCACCATATATACATCTGTGGATAAAACATTTGGTAACACTTTAGTTTAGTAACCAATTCTCACTGTTAACTAGTTGCTTATTAGCATGCATATTACTAGCGTATTGGCTGTTTATTAGGCACATATTAATGCCTTATTCTGCAAGACCATATTCTAAATCCCTTAACCAGACCCAAATACCTAAACTTAACAACTACCCTGCTAACTATTAATAAGCAGTAAATTAGGAGTTTATCGAGGGAAAACTCTTAACAGTTAACAGTGAATGTGTTCCCTAATCTAAAGTGTTACCAAACATTCTCACAAAATGTGTTGTGATATGGTATTTATTAAATTATTGAGAAATACTGTTTTTTGATTTGAATGTGGGCCCCACAGGTCATAACGTGTAGAGTGAGTGAAGTAAGCAGGCCATCAGTTAACATCAGTGAGATCATCGTAAGGCCTCTAAAAACAGGTCACACATAAATCAAGAGCTGTTTCTTCAGACACACAATCCTTTCGTCCTTCCTGAATCTGTCTTAGCACTTCTCCCCCTTTGTCTGTGTCTCATGAGTATATACTGCAGGGATTATCCAGTTCATGTGTGGCCAAACTTGGTGACTGAGAGGAATGTCATACATGCAACATGAACAGTTTTTAATCTAAATTACATAGTATAATTTCGAAATTTGAAGCAAAAACAGAATGGTTTGACTTCAGTTTTGTGAAACTACATAAAAAATATCTGCATGAAACAGAAACAGCAGATGAGCTGAATGAGACGCAGATTCACTCTCTGCCAGCAGGTGGCGCTTAAAGCGTTTCCTGGTTTCCGCTGTAAACAAAGCAGCGCTGAACTTATGAACTTTAATATGCATTATACAGAGGCAAGATGAAAAGAAAAAATACCATCTAAACTTTTCTAAAGACAGTAAGTTCCCCTCAGACATGCATTCATATAAACTCCTACACCTAAATGAATCGCGATTTGTTTAACATCTCAACCGATTTGAATCCTCACATAACGTATTTGAATCGATTTTCAACCAGCTCGCAGTTAATCGTTACATCCCTATCAACTGAATTAATCACAATATCAATATTTGTGGAAAAAAGAAGACAAATGAGTTGATTACAACTCTGAACTGTTTTAACTATTGTACTTTACTGTAATGTGTCTTTAGTAACGTTACTACTGTACAAAAGTTTGCGGCCAGTATGTTTTTTTTTTTTTTTTTAAAGAAATGATTACTTTTAGTTAGCAAGAGCACATTAAATCAATCAAATGTAACAGTGAATAAATGCTACAAAGGTTTCGATTTCAAATAAATGCTGTTCTTTTGAACTTTCCATTCATCAAATAATACTGAAAAAAAGATATTATGGTTTCTACTAAAATATTAAGCAGTACAACACTGATAACAACATCTTTAGCACCAAATCAGCACAGTAGAATGATTTCTGAAGGATCATGTGACACTGAAGACTGGAGTAATGGCTGCTGAAAATTCAGCTTTGCCATAACAGGAATCAATTTCATTTTATAATACAATAAAACTAAAACTAATTCATTTTTGATCAAACAAATGCAGCCTTGGTGATCGTAAGAGACTCCTTTCAAAAGTATTTTATTTTTAAAAATTAATCACACTAAATTATAGACACATCATGAAACATGTAGAGAAGGCCCATCACAGTCAACAAGCAGAACACTAGGCTAGTTAAACTTTGGTGACTGCAAGTCTGGAGGCCCTACATGGTCTGGCTGAGGGCTCTCTGCTGGGAAACCTTTGCTATCCCTGAGCTATTTTCTCTTCCATCTGACACTGAGAGTCCTAATTCTGTTTCTCAGACACACACATGGCCTCAGAGCCTCTGTGTGTCACCCACATAGGGACTTTCCATAAGAAAAATGGTGTAGACGTCAGATGCCCCTTATAAACATCTGTTTATAAAAGCTTTGACAGACATCCTCATAACAGAGCAGGAGCTGAAAGGCGGACAATCTTTATGGGGCTTTTGGAGCATTGATGTTCGAGTTAATTCTGTTGATGACTCGCTTCTAATTTGAGAACATATTTAAACAATCCTAGTAATTATAACTTTTGTCCTTGTGAACAAGTCGAGTATGGACAACACTAACAGCAGGGGTGTTAAAAAAGCCACAACAGTTGCCATTGTGTGTGTGAACATGTGCATAAATGTTTTTCTAAAGTAATGAGTCTGACCTGTCACAGTTGAATCCATCCACATTTTCCTTGCACTGGCAGCGTCCGGTCTGGACATCACACTCCTGCGTGCTTCCGGCTGGATTACAAGAGCAGGGTCTGGAGGGGGAAAAGAGGGAGCAAGAAGGTCAAGGAGAAGGAATCAACTGATTAATGGGTCTGCAAATCAAATATAACCTTCTCGAAAAGAAGGACAGCTTCTGGCGTCCTTAAAAAGTTAAAAAGTGTAAGAACGTTTTGCAGGTTGGTGGTTTAAGCCACACAAGCATGGATGAGTTAAAGCACTTTACCTGCAGCCTGCCGCAGTCAGTGTGTGGTACCCAGGCTGGCATCTGTCACACTTATCTCCAATCACTCCCGGCTTACAGCTACATCTGCCAGTGTTGTCACACTGGGTACTGAGAGAACCTGTAGATGAAGAACCAGTAAAATAAATGGTCACAAACACAAGTTCTGGGGGCCTGTTTAAATTTACACCAAAACAAAATTATAAAATGAAAAATAATCCCTATTGGTTCCTTCACACATTACATTATTGTTTGTCACACTGTTCAGTTTCTCTAGTTTTCTCCTTGAGTAAAAACAATACAAAAGAAAACAAAAAATAAAAAATTTAACAAAAAACAAAAATGAAAAAGCCAGCCACCAGGGGGCGATCAAAGAGCCCGCAGCTTCACTTTTCAGGACGTGTGAGGCACACCCGCTTGCTACGCACCAACAGGGTTGCAGCTGCAGGAGAGACAGCGCTGGCCAGAGGGGTCTCTGTAGTAGTTATCCAGGCATCGCTCGCAGTTCGGCCCATCCGTATTGTCAGCACAATTGCGGCAGTGACCTCCATGACCAGTGGCACGATACAGCTCAGGATCGAAGTAACATTCGCCACTCTTTCCATTACAGTTACAAGCTGAAACAGAGAGACAACCTCCAGTCAGAACTTCAATGTAAAAACTCCCAGGGGTGGCATTAATGTGAATATTACGCACACAATCACACTTGTACATGAAATAAATGCTTGAAAAATCTGGGGTGGTAAAGGAACTGAAATACGCAGATGTGGTTTGGCATTCATCGGGATTTCGAGTAAGATTTCTGCTTGAGTAATTAGTGGACATGTTCATGAGAGAGAAATGGAAAGAGAGACAGTGGAAATAAGATGATGGAGGAGCAGGAGCTGTGTGTGTGTGAGAACACTGGGTCTCAGGCTGCTGTACATCAGATGTGCGCATTAGTCATGCATTTCCAGGAAATGCCTGCATGCAAAAGAAGGGGAGGGAGGACACCAGACACCCCTTCCATATACAATATAACTTTGGTTTAAGAAAACAAAAATGACTCGGTATGGAGGAGGTTAGTCTGTGGGGAAAGACTCAAGTTCTCAATGTACACATGACGGAGGCCAAATGGGTGGGATTCTGCAGCTTTTTACATATTCAACTCAATTTCTGAGAGGACATTAATGGGATCTCATTTGCACCCTTATTTATTACAGCATTTTTTATTTATTTTAATTCAACGACACAAGATCTCTGGTAGAAAAAAATAGCAGTGAATAACATTAAGAAATAGTGTTTATTGCTACTATTTTAAAAATGTAAAAACAAAAAAAAACAACAAAAAAAAACATTCATTCATAATTCATATTCAAAAATGCTGCATAAAGGTAAACAAAATATATATTTTTAAATGTTAATTGGTAGTGTGTATACACATAAATATTTAGAATATAGAGGACAAATCTGTTTTTAATAAAAGGTTATGATGATTGCTCAAAATGTATTGAGCTTGGCAATATAAAAAAGGGTCATTTTTATACTGGTCTAGAATGATATGATGGTAAATAAATAATCACAATTTAAATTTTTCCTTTACATGAGGAAAACCATTTAAAGCAAATTTATTTTGAGGAAAAGTCGACTAAACACTGAAGACCAAACTCACGCAGACACTCGTTGGGGTTGTCAGCGGCGGCTCTCCTCCAGGGACGGTCATTGTAGAAGGGCTTACACACGTTGCAATCTGGTCCCTCTGTGTTGTGTTTGCAGTTACACACCAGCTTGCTGCGCTCGTTCTTCACACACTCGCTGGCATGGCCGTTACACTTGCACCTGGATGGGGAGGGGGAAGGTAACAGACCGGTCAGGTGCAAAAGGGCCACCACACAATGATAGGGCACACTTACTGTATGTGTACACATCCTGCCGCTGTTGTGCGTAACACAAACCAAGCAGGCACAAACGTGCCGCAAAGCTGTTCAAACACAGAGCTCTGACGATGTTTATTGAACCTATCACTGAAACGTCACTGCACCTTTGTTTTGAGATTGAGTAGCTGATGTCTGTGTCTTTATCCTGCCTGCCCTTTGATACAGCGGCAGAGAGTATGCAGTAGTACAGTACAGCACCACTACAGTATGTAGTGTTTTTGAACAGGCTGTTTTTTTATCCTTTTAACCTTCAGTAAATATTGCATATTATAGTATATCATGCTGGAAATGTATTTAAACAGGTTTTTTTGCAATATAATATAAATATATAAGGAATTACAGCATCTTAAAAGCAGTCCATATGACTTCGAGCAATATATTTCAAGTCTTCCACTCTAGTATTTTTATTCAAATTTAGTGATAAAATTAAATATTTTTATATATTTTAAAAATACATGTAATTATATATTAATTAAATAAATACATACATAATTTATTATTTCCAAAATGCACACTATCTTATAATGATATCTTATCATTTGCAATATATCGGTAAAAATTCTCCCCATGATAAGAATTAGTCTTCCCGCCATAATAACGATAAAGCCTAGTTCTGTGTGTGACAGTGCAGAGCGATATGGCGGAAAGCAGACTTGAAATGGAGGAGGAGCACATTGCTAAACAAGGAGCTCCTTCTACAATCTGGAACTGGTTTGGTCAGGGCTGTACAGTGCGACAAAAAAAAATCGGTCTGAGCCTTGAATAAATGTACTACAGTAGCACAGTTTTGCATGTGTATGAGGCTATTTACAAACCTGTTGTCCAACAAAGATATCATTTATTGGCATGCTTTTTCTCCAAATTAATTTCATAACGTAAGTCGAGTGTTTGAAATAACTTTTTGTGATCAGACGTGGTTTCATATCACAGAATGAGGCAGAAATCATACCATTTTATGTATTATATACAGTGATAAAGTGATAATGTCGATTAACATTGCATTATAAATATAATTTATCCTTATAAAAATACCCAAGATTGCTTAAAGAACACAGATAAACCATATATTGTCTTCAAGTTTCCTCAGTCAAAATTGCTCTATCTGCGTTTTATTCAACTACAGCGATAACTGGATACCTTCCTGGAGCGTCGTCAGTGTAGTTTCTGCACAAGGGCACCCTTTCGGCTTCCAGTATGAATTAAAGTCATTACGTTACGTGTGTACTCCGTAATGCTCACAACACCCTATTTTGGGTAAAAATTGGAAAGATAATACTTTTCTCTAAAGAAACAGGATTCCCTGAATTATCGTCATTAGCTATGTTTCCATCCAAAGATTCGAATTAAATTTGTTTACGTTTAAAACATTTGCGAATAAAGCACCGTTTCCATCCAACGAGTCAAAGAGAACAAAATCGTCACTTCCTGGTAAACTGGCACTAAATATCACAAAAAAATTTGGGGGAGCAGCCACTGAATATAATAATTTTCATATATGATAAATTACTTGCGCCTCAGAGCGAGCAGACAAAACACAATAAATGCGGTCATTGCTTTCGGAGGCGGATGCTGCTGTTTGGGAACGCAGTCGTGTAAGACAATTATACCGAAATACTTTGACTACAGACTTTGCTCAGGCATTTCAGAACGACCATAACAATATATAGATGCTGTAAACGAGATCGGTCCGCTGCTAGTCAAGTTATCCCGTCTCATAGCGCAAAGTAACATGTCTTTTTCAATGCGCATGGTGGAATTTATTCGGTAAATGTGCTTCCATCGTAGTTTGCAAATTTTTTCTTATCGGATAAAAAAGTTTATCCTACTCAAATATGCGCATAAGTTTTATATGCACATTTTTTGAATTTATGCGCATCTTGGCGTTTCCATCCAGCATTTTTAAATGCGATATTCCAAAATGCGCATAAAAATAGGTGGATGGAAACATAGCTATTGATACCGTAATCGCAATAAATACCAGAAATTATCGTGATATATTTTAAAGCCCATATCGCCTATCCCTAATGCACAAATAGATGTATAAGACTGCTTGACCATTTTTTTATCCGTTAAGACCACCACCTAAAATGGAAACATATAGAGCATAAATTCAGAGATACTCATAGAAAAAAGGTTATGAATAATTAATTAGCTACTATTTCTTCTTTGAATAGTCTAATTGCTCCCATTTAATAAAACGTATAACATTTAATAAAATTGTCTGTGGCTTCATCTTTAATTTCCGTGTCAATCAAATTTTGCGATACTTTGTTTTTGCATATATTAAATTTGCAACTTGAACAGAATGCTACACAAAATAACATGACAAAAATATACTGAAACATGAGAAAATTGGTTATGAAGCTTTCTTGCAACTCCGATTACCCCAAAAAAAATCACTATATCCAGTGTCACAGTTTGGGCACAAAATCTTATTTGTCCACAACTCCACTGAGTTGCTCACAGCAACGAACATATTCACTAGCGGAGACAACTTGACAGAAGCCTCAGAACAAGAGAGGGCTTGTGCAGCTAAAGCCACCTCTTGCACATTGTCTCAGGTGATCCTTGGCAAAGCCTCATGGAAAAGGTGACGTGAGGAATAACAACTTGGTGGAGGATGTGCACTCATCAGACGTGCATTCTTCCCTAATCCTAATATATATTTATCACGGGTACAATAAAACTCCCAGGATGCTACGTTTCTGGTGATCAGATCACTTGAGGAACATGCGGCTGTCAGTAAACGCTGATGGAGCTCAGAGACCGTGAGGCAGCAGGTGTAAATTATTCCTTTCGGCCTCTGCCTTGTTCCCTTCCCTTTCCAGACTCTCTGCCCGCCCCATTCCAGTTCCACTGCACTCTGTAATCCAGCACTGCCAGGCAGGAATGTAGGGAATGTGGGCTGTGTAATGGAAATCTGCTCCACATTTCAAACAGATTAAGGTGAAAAGACATGCAATGGTGCACCTAGAGATGTTTCACACTTGCTCGACAGCGCTCTGATCTCTCATACGGGCTTCTTCAGCATGTCCTTCATCCCTAAAGCTCACGGTCATAGTATATGGAGGTAAAGATATAATTATTTAATTGCTGTACCTAGAATTCATTGTTTTGGTCCTTTTTCGCATATACAGTTGAACAAAATGGTTTAAAACAAAGAATTCTTGTGCTGTTATCTTAACTATAGGTTCGCTCTCACAGAGAGTGAGTTTTCCCATGCAGCAAGATTTTAAAATGAAGCAATGCATTCCAATCAACCTATTTCGCTCAAAGCATGAAAACTCACACGCAACGATCTAATCTTTAAAGCGGTGGTTCATTTCTTTTGTTTGCACACTGAAAAACCTCATATCATCATATTTCGGGTCACATGTCCAGCATTCCAGATGGAGCTGTTGATATCCATGGTCTGAGTACAAGGAAGATATGTGAATGCCTCATTAAACTATATATTAGCTAACATATGTATGCAGGAGAGTGAAGCAACAGAGATATCCACGACCAGAACAGCTGGAGATGTTGACTTGAACTTGTGTTACGTTCAGAGAGCAGATGTTGAAACCAAAAACGTACCTTCCTCCCACAGCAAAGTCAGAGATAGCGTAGTAGTAGGATTTAAGAACTTTGGGATCGTTGAAAACTTCATCTCCGAAAGTGTTTAATCTGTTCAGGGCCACTCTGATGTCCGTGGCAGTCACCCAATCCTGATAGAGAGAAACAAAATGACAAATTAGGCATTTAAAAAATTACAAAATGGGACAATAAAAGCAAGAATGTAGACAGAGAAAGGCCAGTCATAGATGAGCATGTAACATTTTTGTTTTCATTTTTTGGAATAGTTATTACAGTGGCTTTAGCAGGGAAGAATTCTTCCCATCTGTTTTGTGTGCAGATGTCTAAAGAAAATAAATCCTCAGGCCTCTAATCTAAACCAAACCTGCTGGAGTCATGTTGAGGCACTGTAATGTCTGCAGAAAGGTTTCATGGGAAGAGAAAAACACCAGCGTGACGTTTAGCATGTAAATGTCATGTAGAATGATGTCGTGCAGTACTTGCAGTTGAACTTTGCCTGGAGTGAAAACGTACCTTCCTCCCACAGCGAAGTCAGAGATAGCGTAGTAGTAGGATTTGAGAACTTTGGGATCGTTGAAAACTTCATCTCCGAAAGTGTTTAATCTGTTCAGGGTCACTCTGATGTCCGTGGCAGTCACCCAATCCTGATAGAGAGAAACATAATTACAAATTAGGCATTTAAAAAAATAATGAAATAAAACAAAATGAGACAATGAAAGCAAGAATGTAGATAGAGAAAGCCCAGTCATAGATGAGCATGTAACAATTTTGTTTTCATTTTTTGGAATAGTTATTAGAGAGGTTTTAGCAGGGAAGAATTCTTCCCATCTGTTCTGTGTGCAGATGTCGAAAGAAAATACATCCTCAGGCTTCTATTCTAAACAAAACCTGCCGGAGTCACGTTGAGGCACTGTAATGTCTGCAGAAAGGTTTCATGGGAAGAGAAAAACACCAGCGTGACGTTTAGCATGTAAATGTCATGTAGAATGATGTCGTGCAGTACTTGCAGTTGAACTTTGCCTGTTGCGGCCACATGCTGGGAGTGCCAATGGGAACAATCTCAGGAACCAACGAAAACATGAGTCAAACCAAGACTTTAGTCCTTTCTAAAAGCTTCGCAAGCATTTCCTCTGGTTTCGCCATAAACCGTGCGAGTTGTTATTTTACAAGCGGAGCTGACAGAATAACACGGGAGGTCAAAGTGGAGCCAGGCAACCCTGTAACAACGGTGAACTTTTTCAGTCCACTAAACCCCTGCTGGAACTGAGGAGGAAACGTCCTTAAGTCATTCTGACACCTTATCCATAGCTGACAGCTGTGATTCAGAGCATGTTCCTGTTTGTGAAGAGAGCCAAAGACACCACAGTTCTCTTCCCCTAGAGAAACATGGTACATAACACAGATTATCACACTGAAATGTGGGGATCATCAATAATATCAGATTTTCCTCACATAAAGCTATACTATAATTTAGGGATGGGCAGTATGATCAAAATCTTCTAGCAAGGTGTGAGTAATTTTATGTCACTGTTACAGCATATCACAAGTTTATTTTTCACAACAATTTTAGCTAAATGTTACATATTTATATTGTTTTAAATTGAGTAAATATTCAATAATAATCCATTTTTTAAAGATTTAAAATATATGAAAGCACTACAGTGTCCATCATCTCATCAGATTATTTTTTTGAACTTTATATTTGGAGGAGCTGCATAAATAAATCTGTCATCAGAGCAAAAACAGCTTCACTTCACGTGACGCGATTAAAAGCAAAAGACTCAAATTATAAAACAAATCACTTAGACTCTAAATTCTAGAGTCTGAATATAGTGTTTAAAATGTTTGCACTACTTCACAAGGTCATTTTTTTGAGCTTGACAGTTATAATAGTCACCATCCGCTTTCATTGTCTGGAAAAGAGCAAACAGGACTCCTATTATGTTTCGCGGAAAACTTACATCATGTGTTTTAAGCAAAACGATGATGACAGGATTTTCACATTTGAGGTTACTTTGACTTTAACCCTTTTCAGCCCCCAAGAAATGTGATAGAACAAAATCTAACCATCAGCACTGCTTGCAAACAAAAGATAGAACATATAAAAGTAACACCTAAATAATCAACTAATGATATTAATGACAGATGATGAGTGAAGTCAGTTTGTTGTGGATCATTTTCAAAGTCCACAAACAAACTAGTCATCCTCACTCATCACACACTTCTATAAAGGACCCGGCATGACAACCACATAAACCTACCGAAACAGATCCATTCCTATAAAAAGAGTTTGGGCGTTTGGTATTAATAGCTTTACGCCACATGAGATGTCTGATATGGAAGTATCTGGCGACAGGGCTAAAATTGTACATTTGGTAAAGGTAACGTTACATTTGAAAAACAACATTACAATAAATAAATAAATAAAAATAACAAAAACAAATGTTTACCATAATAATACTTCTTAATTTTGTTAAAGGCTAGCTCCAAGGCCAGATCCAAGTGTCCTAGCTCTTGCATGTATGCTGCACGTTGTCCATCACATGCACACACACTCTTTTCCAGCTGTGTCTGTGCACTGCCAAGCACAATCAGAATGGGGTGGGAAATCTGGGGGTGTCACCTAGTAACATGTTGCAACTGTTGGCTGTGCCGAGCGAGCGGGAGGCGAGGTAGCACCTGGACAGCGCACCACGGGTCTCACGAACACACAGCAGCCTGCCTGCCTGCTTCCATGCATGAATTCAGCCATACATTATCTGCTGTCCACCCACCCCTGCTCATATCTCACGCACTTAACCTCTTTTCGTCTCCCTGTAACCACAGCAGCATCTTGTTTTGGCTTGGCATGCAGAACGCTTTCTCTGCCTGACAACATATTCCATAGTCAGCACGCGGAAGGACTGACTCAGCTCACACTGGGTTGAGCATCTGTCTCTTATTCATCTAATTAGTCTGAAAAATGTTTTTTTCTGTGGTTGTGGTCTCGGGAAATATATCAAGTTCTGGTGAAATGCAACAATGTAACAGTAGGATTTCTGCTAGGGATGCAACGATACCGATACTGGTATCGGTATCGGGCCCGATACTGAGCTCCTGTACTCGTACTCGTACTCGTGTGATAAGCGCTGTATTCAAACAAAGAAACACCAACAACAGAACAACAGACAGCAGAATGGAGTTAAGGATGTCTACTGCGAAGTATATGTATGCAATGAATATAACGTTAAACATTAAGTATTAACGCCTGTATAGCTGAAGTGTGCATATTGGTATCGGTACTCGGTATCGGCAAGTACCAAAAATAAAAGTATCGGTATCGGGCGAGTACTGGAAAAAGTGGTATCGGTGCATCCCTAATTTCTGCATAACAATAATTCTGTGGTGGGTAACGGGCAGAAACATGTCGTAAACCTATTTAACAATAAAACTGATGCTTTTATGAAGCAACGTAATAAACCTCTGTGAAGTTGGCACCCTATAAAAAGAAATAAATCAACAAAACTATGCCATTCTGATTTGCGCCGCAAAATGAACGTTTGTGCTGGTTTAGTGTTTGAGACATGAAACATTATTTTTCTGACTGTGTGACGTCACTCTCCACCCCATGTTGCCCAAATCGCTCCAAATCAACGCAGTTCGTTTGTGCTGGGTTTGTGCCGTTAAAACAAACTCTGCATTGATTTTCCTTCCTTAGATATAACCAAATTGTTATCGGGAGCTGTGATGCTACTCTCCACCCCAGTTTGTCTAAATCTGACAAAACTGGTGTCATTCATTTGTGCTCTATTTGTGCCGTTGAAATGAACATCATATATATTTCCCCTTCTTACAAATAACAAACATAATTTGGGGCAGTGATGTCACTCTCCACCCAATGCCGTCCAGATATTTCTAAACCGGTGCCGTTCGTTTGTGCTCGATTTGTGCTGTTAAAAGAAACCAAACCAGCACAAACGTTTGTTTTTGCGGCACAAATCAGCACAAATGTAGCACAAACGAATGGCATAGTTTTGGTGATTATTTCTTTTTATGTGGTGTCAACTTCACGGAGGTACAAAACCATGGTGCTAAGCCATGAAAAAATTTTTTTTTTTAAATAAATAAATAAATAAATAAAAACATTTAAATAATAAAATAAAAACAACATGATGCTCAGCCATGGAAAAAAAATAAAAAATAAAATAAAACAAAACAAAACAAAAAAATATAAGTATACAACAATAAAAAGTTAGGGCTAGGCAAGATTTTGTCTTCAAGAAATTAAAACTTTTATACATAAAGGATGCACTAAATTAAACAAAAGTGACAGTAAAGATTTTCAGAGACTGTTTCCACAAAAACATATTAACCAGCAAAACCATTAAATATATGTGATAATAAGAAATGTTTCTTAAGCACCAAATCAGCAGGTTAGAATGATTTTCTGAAAGATAATGTAGCACTGAAGACTAAAGTAGTGGCTGCTGAAAATTCAGCTAGGAATACATAAAATAAATGCAGAGCAATCATCATTTAAAGGTAGATGTGATCCACTTCAATACTACTACTATTTTACTATTACTTTATCATTTGATCAATTTTTAAATGATTTTCTGCTATTGCAGTTACAATAGCAACTTGGTGCAACTTATTTTCCAGAAAATACAGTTAATGGAAAGGTTTGTTTTACTGATATATTTCGCAAATACTAATATCTCTCACATGCAAACGCTTCTAAATTATGAGCTGTTTGTTTGAGGCTGCGGAACGTTGCTCAATCTGGACTAAAAAATCTTGGAAAAGTAACTTGGCTGCAATCGCACATTACTACACAACAACACATCTGGAAACTGAGTTTTCGATTCCCACCAATAACTTTGTTACGTCTGAGACTGTGAGTGGTGTGAACGCTTTTCATGAGTGAGTTAGAGTAATCAAGGGAAGGTGAGTGAGAGCTCAAAAAGAGAAAAATAGAAGACTGGTTTACCTGCAGTACAGGGCTGTTGTCAAAGTTATATGCGCTGGGTCGGCCCTCGAGTGTTGAGAAGGCCACGTTTCCTCCAGTGAGAGGTGAGATGTCGCTAAACTCGTCTGTGCACACAGCCTGCTGCTCGTCCTCACCAGTGTGGATGAAGCCGCGGTTGATCTTGCTGTAGGTCTTCTCGCAGGAGCCGCTGTAGTACTGGTAGGGAATCCAGGGCCCGTCTTCACTAGTGCGCTTGTAGATGGTAAAGCTCTCAGGACGGCTGGTGTGAAACTTCAGACGCACATAGGTGATGTCGAAAGCCTTGCCTAGAAAAAGAGAGAAAGCAATATTAAGCCCTGCAGTTTATTCTTCATTCCTTCAAAACACACTGAAAACACACTGAAATTTAACACTATAAAGCAATGAACCGGGGATGGACGGATCATTACCAGTCCTAATATTTAAATGGGAAATGCAAACAATTTTAAATAGTTGGGCACACGATGCATGGGAAAGTCACAGATAAGCATGATCAGATACGGTGAGGATATATATTTAGGTAAACAGACGTGAGATTAGTGAGATGTGCTCTTTAATGTACAGGGAGATATCACACAGATAGACTGGTAGTAGTGTCTGCAAGTTAAAGTTAAATCTGTGCTTCGGTACGGCCCACTAGCAGATAGAGCTGGATTCAAGGACTGGATAAGACACTAAGTCAGCAATGCAGGTGTCAAACATACACACATCTCTGAAAGATTGCACAGAAAAAGGGATCAAGGTTAAGCAGACAAGCCTGATATTACACACAGCTGGCATAACGCCACGCAAACATAACCTTGCTTCACTCAAAATGCCTAAGAGCTCCTTCCTGTCTGATAAGATCTGCAAATCAGTGCCCTCAAATTTCCATTGTTCTGCTCTTTTTTTCCCTCTAGCTGCTGAAATATTCAGGACCGTAACCACCTTAGAAATTAGAAGGGGACACCCCAATTTTACAAATGATTGTGACATAATATTTTTGGTGTATTATTTATTCAAAATACAATGAAATGTGTAAACACAAATCACCTGCATACACCACTTCTATGATGAGTATGTTTGTAATTTCTGATTTTTTGGATTAGTTCAGGTTGTAAAATGTCAGGTGGTGTTTATGAATTAATTTATATTTCTAACAAAAAAAATGTAAGATAATTAAAAAAAAAAAATAAAGATGTGTATTCAAAATGTATTTGATGGTTACACCACATACACTACCTTTCATTTTCAAAACTTGGCACATTTTAAACTAGTTTTCTACTTTAAATCTCTGCTGCAATTTGAATCATTCATCATCAATCAGCCTGAAATCCTTCTTTTCACTATTAAGCACAGAACATGCAATAAAACAAATGCCTTGTAAAAAAACTACAAGAGCATAATCTCACACTTTTTTTTTATTTTTACAAGAAGCTTCGTTTTTTTGTGCTAGTCTGGATTTCTGCAGCTTTGCAAGGTCTTTGCTAAGCAATTATACGGAGCGTGTAAAAACATATTTTTGCATGTCTGAGCAAGCTATGTGTGAGAGACTGCAACCAGGGGCCAAATGGAAATGGTATGGAGAGACATCATTTATTTAGTGTGAAGAAAATGACACCATCTTTCAGCAAGGCCACGGGGGGGACCAATGTTTGCTTTAGCAAAGAATTTGCTCTCCAAACAAATCTGCAAAAACTAGGAACAACTGTGTGTTAAGTAAATACACTGAGAGATTGCATCAAAAAGTTAAACTACAGTTAAAGCAGGGACTGATTTAAAGCAATGACAAAGAGACTCATACCTTGCAGCAGTCTCTGAGGGCATTATGGCTGTTAACATGAAAATGAACTTGCTGACTTTTAGGAGCCTCCGGCACACATCATGCTGCCAAGGTCAAAGTTCAACAGAAGTGAGAGAGATTTTTACAATAGGGCGTGAGCTTTAAGCTTTTCTGTCAGTGAATGAGTTGAAAATGACTCACGTAGTGCTTAACAAAAGTTAACAATGACTCAAAGGTGAATCAAAGATTTCAAAGGATCAATCAGCACAAAATAGATAGCTGCCAAGCTCCAAAAATAATAAAAAAAATCCCAGAGAACTACTTCATAATTTTTCTTTACACAAGCTATTGTGTGGTGTCAGAAGACCTGGAATATGCAGAGCATGTAATATGGATGCTGTTTTCTATACAATTAAAGTGGATGTTGACATTTTGCTATACAACTATGCTATACAAATTCATGATGTAAATTTTTCAGTGAAATTGCACTTGCACTATAGATACAACAAAAACAGAGCTTAAAAAATAAATATAGTTCACTCAAAAATTTACATTCTGTCAATTTATGTTACATCCCAACTTAGGGACCAACATAAAAAACGTTCAGGAAAAGAATTAAAAAACAAACTGCAACAGCCAGGGATGAAATGTTTGAATAAAAAATAAAAAGCAACAAAATTCAACCAAGAGTAAATAAACTTGGAGAACAACTTAGAGCCAACTAATCTAAAACTACCTCTTCCTCAGAATTCAACCTTCCTAACTCCTGAAACAAAAACAAAACAACAAACACAAAAGCAATCTTCCAGGACAGCAACACTCACTGGCCTGTAACAAAAAAAAAAAAAAAAGCAAAACACAAACATCAAAACAACAAAACAACAAGATGTCCTCGGCCCACATGTGTTGAACAAAAAAGAAGAAAAATATATTTTTGTCCATAGAGCGGCAATTGTTTTGGACCCCATTGACCTTCATTGTATGGACAAAAACATATTTTGTGTTTTACATAATTGGGTTTGGAGAGACATGGATGTGAGTAAAAGAGATTTTTAATGTTTGAGTGAACTATCATTTTAAGTGACCAGAAACAACAAAACAAGACTACACTGGCCTTTGTAAAAAAGTGAAAATGATGATGGTCACGCTCATGAAATAAGACCGTATTCCCTTGCATGCACACTGGAAAATTCCAGGACAGCACAACAGTGAGTCAACGGTATTTTCCAGCAACAGTTGTATCCAATAGTTGTCCATGTTTCTTATAGGCCTTTCAGATTCTACTCCTCTCTTGGCGGTCAACTTACTCTTACTCAACCCTTATCCAGATGATTTCAAGCCATGATTTTACCTTAATTTGTCTCTTGATCATATCGTAATTCACTGCAAGTCAAGTGCAATGAAATAAAGACTGGAAACATTTGCAAGAACTTTGGGCCTAAATAGGACCATTTCCTATTCAAGTCCTGCTCTGAACACTGGAACAACCCAAGGCTTCCACATATGGCACCGCTATGCCATGGATCCGATAACAGCGGGATGACTTTTAAAACCTTATACCCAAACAATGCAAAGCCTTAAAGCGTTCACATGTGAGTCGTACATGTTCTTCGCTGACGTCGCGGCGAACAGTGCCATCATTGATGCCTCACCTCTGAAGTCTCCCCGGCATTCTTGCAAAACAAGACGAACCAAATCTTTTGGCAAAGCCGTGAAGAATTGAGCCAGAAGCTGGCTGAGAGGAAAACAAAAAAGCTCCTTCACTTAGCCAATGCGCTTCAGGAGGACAGACAAAGAGCACTTGAGCACTGACTCGTAGTGCTCACTGGATGCTCAAAGGCATGACTGAAGCCAGGGCACACATCAAGAGGAAAGGGTCAGGCCCTGTGGGGGACGTTGCACTGGACGTTCTTTGAACTTACACTTGATGACATCTCATCTTTGTCACCAAGCCATCGAAAACTGAGAGGGTGTGAATTCAGGGTCAACATACTGTTTCAAACATTTCCAAACAATGTTGCAAAGATAATAACAGTAAAATACATTACATTTACAACTATATCACTGCAGCAAAGGTGATAAGAGGAGGTTTTAAAGTCCCCCTGTAGTCAAATATTTTATCCCTTAAAACTTATCTTTGATAATCAAAATGACATATTTAAATGTTTTTTCTTGTGAAAATAATTTTCTCATGCCTTAAAATAGCTTGAATGTAACTCAACACCCTTGCCTCATTTACTATACGCTGATCTATGAATATGCAAATTAGCCCCGCCTCCACTCACTCACACCAGCCAGCACCTCCTGATTCACTGAAATGTAGTAAATGCAAAACAATGGCATACACGGATAATAAAACACCACATAGACAAATAAACAACATAAAAAACTTGATTTTCACTACAGGGGGACTTTAAGAAAAACAAACGTCCTAAAAATACATATGCAGTCATGTTAAAAAAAAATGGAAACATGATGTTCTCGTGATCCCCAAAATATTGCACATCCTTTGGGCGATTAATCATTTCCTTTGGGTCAAACAAAGCAGACATTACACAGACCTAAACCATCATCGACTGCAGCTGTGAGGGAAGTAGCCACAGGTGTCCCCTGAAGCTGAGAAAAATCACAGTGAGCAGAAGGAACCTCTTTCTCAGTGTGTGCACCAGCTGGTAGACATGCTAGGATGGCGAACATACTAGAAGATATGAAACAAATTAACTCTATCAGACTTTAGTTCAGAATGTAAGACAATTTGTGGAGATAGGCCTAAACTTTATTTAGTGCTCATTATTTACTATTATTGTGTGATTGCTGGTTTTATTTGATAGCTCTCATGGGAAAACGTCACTCTCTCTGCTCATGAACTAACTCGACTGATGTATTGAGGTCTACTCCAGGAGTTAAAAAGCTTTTCACAAACTCAACTTAATTAGGCTTATATGGAGGCAAATTGAAGGACTCTTTTTATCTTCACATTAATGGGGAATTTCTCTGTGTCTAATCACTTATTCATTACTGCAGCCACTGAATGCAGATATTAAGTCGACTTTAATCCATAAATAGCCTACAGTGGGGTCTAAAAGTCTGCTACTCCTAGTGAACTTTTTTTAAATGTAATACAATATGTTTAATTACATTTTATAATATACATTTAAATTTGCTTATTTGATTGATTACCTAAAATATTTTATTTCTGTAATACATAAACTATTTTCTGCCTTAAAAACTACATTATAAATAAAACCATAAATAAAAATATAAAATATAAAAAAATACACTTATTTAGCAATTTTTATAGTAACTTTTTAAAACGTTTTTGTCATTTTTATCAAGTTTAAATGAAAAAAAGTCCACATTTTTCTAAAAGTTTCAGATATTTGTATTCCCAATTTAAGTTCATGTAAATAATACAATAAAAATGCTGCCACATTATTTCACTCTTGAAGAAGCTGTAAGAAGTCCATGAAGAGTTTTTTGTGGCACCTGAATGACAGCAGTATGGGTTTACCCAGCCCTTCAAGT